GCCATTTTCACAATGTTGATTCTGCCAATCCATGAGCACGAGAGATCTTTCCATCTTCTGGTGTCTTCTTCAAGTTCTCTGTCTAGTGATTTATAGTTTTCATGTAATACCACTTTCTATGTAAGAATAGAAAGATCGCCACACCACAAGGCTGTTTGGTACATTGGACTCAGAGGACCCAAGAAACAGTTCCTTTCTCTCTAATTCTTTTTTTTTTTTTGGGGGTACTGGGGTTTGAACTCAGAGCCTACACCTTGAGCCACTCCACCAGCCCCTTTTTGTGAAGGTTTATTTTTTTTGAGGTAGGGTCTCATGAACTATTTGCCTGGACTAGCTTTGAATTGGGGTTCTCCCGATCTTGCCTCCTGAGGAGCTAGGATTACAGGCATGCGTCACCAGCGCCCAGCTCACTTCTAGTTCTGTCATTCAATATCACACACTGGACAATCTTCAAGGAAATGAAACAATGCCAAGGTCTAATAAAAAATGCCAACATAGAGGTACCCCAAAGTTGGATATAAAGTCTCTCCTGCTTGTTAAATTCCCAGGGAGAAATTAAAATTCAATAATTATATCTCCTTGAAATTTCAAGACAGATAAATTAAAGTCCAAGAGATACAAAGTGAGAAGTCAGGATGTTTTGCCTTTGAATTGACAGTTCTTCAGTTATAACCCAAAGTCAATGCCCAAATTTCTTATTTTGCAGAGTCACTGGACCTACAACCCAGCACACACATTATGTATAACCAAGATCAAGTTGCAGGGGCCTGCACCACTTCTGCTGAGACCCCCAAATGCATTGAGAGCCTTAGCTGAAGGCCAAGTGGCTACACCTTTCCCTAGTGGTTCATTTGCTTCTGCAGAAATGTGGGTGTCTGTGTTCAGCTAGAGGGGTGGAACATTTGCATACAGCCTTTCTGTGTCAACTCTGACACAGACCAGGGGGCTTCCATACTTCCTGTGGTCTTTGAATTCCACATATTTTGAGCTTCCATCCATAGGGATTCTGACTCAGGTTTAGGGTAGGGCCTGGGGATCAGATCAGTATTGTAAACTCCTTGAATGTATACCTAGTTTATAGCACTAGTTCTGGCACTTATTAGGAGCTCAAGGAATATTTGAGGCTGAATAAATCACTTGAATCTGATTGGTAAGGGGCAGACAGCTGAGGAAAGATTTCATACTGTTCTCACTGTGCTCCTCTGCAGCTCTGTCAAAGATAAGAAACACCTCCCCGGCTGAAAGTGTCATTGCAAGCTCTTGGGTTTTACATTTCCATTTTGAGGTGGTCAGGGAAGGAGGATAGGAGGGACATTTTAAAATCAATTCTTCCTGAAATCACTGGGACCCTACCATCTAAAGTTCTATCAAGCTGTGTGTCAATGAATGTCAGTCCCATTCCAATGAATGTAGGAACTGGTGCCATCAAATAGAACCTACACCAGATGCAGAAAGAAATTTGTTTTATCATTTTCTGATATTCATAAAGTTTTCTCTATTGTGTTTTATTTTTTTTTTTAAAGTTTATGAGCATTATTAATTGTAAAAAGTAATGGATTTCAGGCCAGGCACTGGTGGCTCATGCCTGTAATCCTAGCTACTTGGGAGGCTGAGATAAGGAGGAACACAGTTTGAGGCCAGCCCAAGGAAATAGTTTTCGAGACCCCCCCCATCTCCAAGATAACCAGAGCAAAATGGACTGGAGGTGTGACTGAGGTGGTAGTGTGCCTGCTTTGCAAGAGTGAAGCCCTGAGTTCAAACCCCAGTTCCACCAACCAACCAACCAACCAACCAAAAAAGGGCTTATTATGACATCATGGTGCATGTGCACGGCATACTTTGATTATATTTACCTCCCCATTACCTTTACCCCCTCCCCCACCCCTGCCTCTCCCCCAATAGTCACCCTTCTACTTCCTGAAGTATTTTATAATGTGTAATTTTATATAGCTACATCTGTTTTTTTAAAGTGTTTATCTTTGGATCTATCTTCCCCATGTGAGGGAAAACATGTGGCTTTGTGTTTCTGATCCTGGCTAACTTCACTTAACATGATGTCCTCCAATTGCATCCATTTGCCTTCAAAGCACGTCATTATTCTGTACGGCTGGGTAATACTCCATTGTGTCTCTATACCACAATTTCATGATCCATTCAGTTGTAGGGCACCTGGGTTGTTTCCAGAGCTTGGCTACTGTGAATAGTGCTGCTATGAACATCGGTGTACAGTGTCTCTACTGTATCCTGACTTAACGTTCCTTTGTGCAGGAGCAGTATCACCGAATCATATGGCAGCTTTATGTTTAGTTTTTTGAGGAATCTCCACACTGCTTTCCATGGTGGTTGTACTAATTTTCATTCCCACCAGCAGTGTATAAGGTTCCTGTTTCACCACATCCCCGCCTGAATTTGTTGTTGTTATTGCCCTTGATTCTGGCCATTCTAACTGGATGAGATGAAAGCTAAGTGTTGTTCTGATTTGCATCTCTTTTATAGCCAGGGAAGTTGAACGCTTCTTCATGTATTTACTGGCCATTTGTACTGCTTCTGTTGAGAATTCCCTGTTTAACTCATGTGCTCATTTCTGCATTGGGTTGTTGATTTTTTGGGGGCTGTGTTTTTTGAGTTCCTTGTAGATCCTGGATATGAGTCCCTTATTGGATGAGTAGCTGGCAAAGATTTTCTCCCATTCTGTGGGCTGTCTCGAGTGTGGTGACTGTTTCCTTTGCTGTGTGGAGCTCTTTAGTTTGATGCAGTCCCACTTTTTTTTTTGAGGTGGAAGACAGCTTCTCACTATGCAGCCCAGGCTGGCCTAACACTCCCTGGCTACATATGACTTGAGCTCCATTTTGACTTCTAAATGTAGTGTTAACCCCTGACTAGACTTACCCTGGTTTTCAAAAACTTCTGTACTTTGTGCAAAATCTTATGTCTATGGAAGTTCCTGTCATTTTCTTCTTATGCTTTTTCTTTGAGACTGTCCTCTCTAAGAGAGCTAAATCTCCACAGCCAATTTCATTCCCTGAAAAATCACTGAAAAATCCTTCAGTTAAGGAACTGAGCCAGCAGCCATCTGTGTAGAATGAATTCTAGACTTTTACCTGCATATATATATATATATATTTTTTTTTTTTCAGAAAGCTATGGATTTTGCTTAGTGTGGTGTAACCATGAGTTGTCAAGCACAGCCTAAAACATGTTTTCCTATTGGTAGGAAAGCTGTCACTAGATTTAATAAAGATGAAAAATAGTTATGCATTAAAGAAAATGGTACAGCACCTTGGCCCTTGGGTGTTGTGGAGGTTAACGAGGTAACGCCATCACAGGTGAGTGTGAGAGAGTGTTTGAGCCATGAGCAGCACTGGGGTCTCAGGAGATCAGGTGAGGCTCCAAGTCACCTAGCCCCTGTTTGCATGCTTCAGTGCCTGCAGGTGAGGCTGGCTGGCTCTCTGTAATGTGAGCCACAACACAATCAATCACTCTGATCCTTTTAATTTCGTATATTTTCCATCGTGAAGGGAAAACTCAGGTTCAAAGGCATTTATATACTGCATTCTTGTGAGTATATTCTAAGTCTTTTGGACTTTTCTTCTTTCACTTGTGAAGCAAAAACCCAACTCTAAAAATATCTGAGAGCTGACAGTGTCACATTCTGACACATTCCCTATCCCTTTAGTTCCAGGGTAAACAGATGCATATCTTGTACCTTGGCCAATCACAGAAATTGGGTCTCAGCCACTATACTCATCTGCTATCTCGGCTGGTCTCCTGCAAATCTATGCAAACAGAACCTAGGAATAGTTCATTTTAATCGAAAAACTTCCCATCTTCCATCTGTGTTACCAGCTCATTTGTCCAGAAACAATTGCCCTGGGTCCTTCACCAGTGGTTCCTAAAGGTTAGCGTGAGTCAGAATCACCTGGGGAGCTTTGGCAAACAGAGCTGGGAGTGGGACAGCCCCTGGGCTTCTTATTCAGTAGGTTTGGGTCAGTCTGGGGATGTGCATGGCTGATAAGTCCCCAGGTGATTCTGTTGCTGGTTCAGGGGTAACACTGTGAGAAGCACCGCCCCAAACCAATTTCATTAATTCCGATTAACTTCTGGACTGTGATAAATTTTAAATACCGTTAAGTGAAGTTAAATAACATCAGGTAGAGATGATGTTCGATTAAGTTAGATTAGGTAAATTAAATAAATTAGATCAATCTGAAAGGCTATCAGATAAATTTAAATACCATTGGGTAAATTTAAAATACCACTAGTCAGGGATAAGAGAGTACCACATGTCCTATGAAAAGGGGAAGAAAATCAAGAGTGGGATCTTTGAGAACCTCTTGCCCTGACAAAATTTTCAGAAGTAGGTTAAGAAGAGACTAAGGTAGGAAATTGTGTACTGTGTTGAGAGAAGCACAACGGAACACAGTGATTTTTATGGTGCATTATTATATCAGATCAGCTAAATTATGGGTCAAAATATAACCCTTGGAGCCCGATACGGGTTCAGTTTGCTGACAATGCAAGGGTTTGCTCTGTTGCTTTATTCTGAAAATGCTCACTGAGGGTGTGTTATATACACGATATTGGACTACACATGGCGGGAGGAGCTGGGTGCAGTCTGAGACCATGGAATTCAGTGTGTGACATTATTCAGAAGAACATTATAGGGCATGGTATGAGTACCGTGAGAGAGGCACAAATACATGATTTTGGATATTCAAAGGAAGAAAGGCTGCAGCATGGAGAGTGAGGAAACAGGTAGGAGCAGAGATGCCTTTTGGGTTAAGAGAACACTCTAAGACAGGAACTGTGAGTTTTTGTGTTTGAGGCATTAGTTGCTGTGGTTGGAATTTTATCCCCTGCACAGCCTCTGTGTGGAAACTAATTACCAATGCCTGGCGGGATGATCTTAGGTCATGAGGGCTCTGCTTTCATGAGTGGATTAGTGCCAAAATAAAAAGGGCATTTGAGAGTGAGTTTATGCCTTCCATTTTCTGCCACTCAGAGGATGCAGCATGCAAAATGTCATCTTGCAAGTGGAGGTCGGGCCCTTCCCAGAGACCATACCTGCTGGCACATGGCCTTGAGCTTTCCAGACTCTAGAACTGGGAGAAGTAAGTTTCTGTTCATTACACATCACCCAGTCTGTGGCCTTGTGTTCAAGCAGCCCAAAGTGAACGGATCCACTATACCAGGGCCCAGGTGATCAATGTGGTTTTCCTAGCCTCGCCACCGCCACCGATCAAAGGAGTTGTTCTACCACTCCACTGCACAGAGTTGAGTTTCTGGGCCTTAAGTTCATGTTGTCTTACTTTTACAACAACACAAAATAAATAGTCTTAGTTTGTCAATTCAATATCACACTGGGAAAAAATTTCTCCTGAACCCAATATTTAAACAACCGGAAAACCTTGACTTATCTTGATAAGAAAATTCCACATAAGTGGTAATTACTGTTGTCACCTGTATGAGTTCCAATCACTGAGGTGTAACCTGGGTCCCTTGGTCCTGAAACATTCAGGAAGTGGGGGGTGGGTTTAGGGATCGCATTGATACAAGGACCCAGCATGGTAATGATGAAGGTACATCGCCAAGCACACTTTGGAAATATTGGCCTAAGTATTAAAGATTGGTTCCAAAATAACCTACTTATGTCTCGTCTGTGGCTTTGCTCTGTGAATGCCCACCAGTTTGGGTAATTGGGAACTGTTTTGGACACAGGCCAACCTGTGCAAAGTATCAGCACACTGATGCTGACCGTCTGAACTTGAGCCGTGGAGATGTCAGGTTGACCCACGTAATCCACTCCGTTCTCCTCGGTGTTTTATTCTAAAGGAGTATATTGAAGGAATCAGTGTAATTAGCACCTGGGCAGCTCCTTGGCATTCATCAATCATTATTGGTCTTCTTATTCCCATTCACCAAGGGGGCTTGAGAAGTTACGCAGCAAGCAGGGGGTGAAATTAATTGGTGTCTAGGTTTTCTTAACAGCTCTGTCTCTCTTTTTCTCAGTGTCTTTCCTGGAAAAGTGTGACTTGGATGAGAAGGCTTCACAATGTGTATAGAAGAGAGAGAGAGAGCGGAGGGACGGGTGAGGGAGAAAGACACTGAAGGTAGGTAAGGGAAAGATCAGACAGGATTTACAAAATTACTTAAAGGGTAATGTTCACAACTACTTTTTTCTTTCCTTTCAGAAAAACATACACAGGGTTAGCTGCTCCAGTCTCATTTCCTATTTCTGTGTTCTTTAAGACTTTGACAGTGAATTAGAACTGGAAGAAATGACTGGGACCTTGGTCTGAGCTTGCATCATGAGTTTCCGTAGCTCAGTTCTGACCAGTTTCACTGTGAATGACTCAGTTGTTCCTGAAAGAAGTAGGTTTGAACTAAGAGAAGAGAGCTGGGCGTCTTCACAAGAGCAACTCATGTTCCCCACGCCCCAGCCAGGGATGGGCTCATTTCCTTACCTGGTCAGGATATAGAAATTTCATCCATGTATTGATTATTTATTAATTTATTTTTATTTGCAGTTGCTGAGGATGGAACCCAGGGTCTTGGGTATGCTGGTTCCCCACCTCTGTTGAGAATCTTCAAGGTAATTAGATACATCCTCCTGTTTGCAGCAGGTTTTTTTTTTGTTGGTGGCACTGGGGTTTGAATTCAGGGCCTCATGCTTTGTAGGCAGGCGCTCTACCACTGGAGTCAGTCTCCAGCCCTTTTTTGTGTTGGGTATTTTTGAGATGGGTCTCACTTTCATTTTGTCTGGGTTGGCCTTGAATCTTGATCCTCCTTATCTCTGCCTCCTGAGTAGCTAGGATTATAGGTGTGAGCCTCTGGTGTCTGGTTAGCAGTTTTGAAAAAAAAAAAAAAGGGAGTGAACTGATTAATTGATGGTTGATTTTCTCTCTCTCTCCTTGGTATTGGGGTTTGAACTCAGAGTGTGCTACCACTTGAGCCATGCCCCTGGTCGTTTTTTGCTCTAGTTATTTTTCAGGTGGGGTCTTGAACAGGGCTGGCTTCAGACCTGTTCTTCCTGCTTAGCTGGGACCTCAGGGATGCACCACCATGCTCACCTTATTGGTTGGGATGGGGATCTGGAAACCTTTTGGACTTGAACTGAGATCCTCCCAATCTCCAACTTCCAAGTAGCTAGGATTACCAGTGTGAGCCACCACGCTTTGGTGAGAAAATAAAAGGAAGTAAGAACAATAAGACAAGTGCTTTCTGTGGGGATGGGGCTGGTGCTATGTGTTTTGGGAAGGAGCTGAAGCTGACACCAGTACTGGGAATCTTTGGTTCACCCAAGACGTCACCTTGACTGAACTTCCATGGGGAAGGAAGCAGGTTGGCCCTGAAAGCTGAGGGGCTTTCTCTTCTGAATGTTTGTTGTATGATCTAAAACCCAGCCTCACCCATGGAAGAACCAAGTCCCCTGCACGACACAGCCGTGTGTTATTCGGGGACTTACTAATGGCTAAGCCAAGTTAGAACAGAGTCTTATGAGCACCTTCCCAGTCAATTAAAATTCCAGATATTACTAAGGCAGAATTCAATTAAGGTTAATTGGGGCTTCTGAAAACTGCTTTTCCAAAGGAAGCCACAATGGAATTGTGACTCCTGGTGGGTTTTGATCAGTTTTAAATAACTTTCTGTGCTTTTCTTTTCTTGGCACCAGTCACATCCTTTCTCTGCTGCTGGCTCCTGCTATTATCATTTGATTCAGATGTTGATTTTTCTGTCATAAGTTATCATTGTGACTTATTTGGTTTTTGCTTTGTCTTAAAACAAAAAAATAGCCAACAGACAAAAAAACCCAGAACCTAACTCCCAAGGCTTTCAGCCGACCACAGCCCTAACAAAACAGCAACCTGCGCTTTGCGGGAATCACAGTGGTCTGACATGAAAGAAATATAGTCATTTGGAAGATTGTGACAACATTTCAGAAGCAATTATCCAAACTGGAAAAATAACCCAATCCTTTTTCTTTGTCATTAAGGTGGATGAAAAGGTTTGCCAACACTGTCAACGAGGGGGGAAAGTGAGTGAGGGAGAACAGGTGCAGACAAGAATTACCATGCAAGTCAGGCTGCCCGTTCTACCCTAAATTTTATTTTCTTGTCGTCAAGGGCTATTGTGACAGTTCTTAGCACAGTTGATTGAACTGGGAAAACACAGGGGACGGGGCCTTCGTCACCGAATGCAGACCATGCAGCCTATGCAGCCTGGAGCTCGCAGAGCAATCTGCAGCAAGGAGTGAATAATAATTTCATCCGTTTATTTCCTCAGAATTTCTAACCTATTGTTCATCACTGGAGACTAAGAACAGAGAGCAACGGAGAAGTTTTCCTTTTGAAAGGAAGAGATGATAAGGGTTTGTGCAGGAGAGAGAGGAGGCAGGGCTCTGATGTGCCGGAGCTCTTCCAAGGAGCAGAGCGAGGTGTTTGCCGGGGGCGGATGGGAGCCTCTGTCAGGTGTCATCTTGTTGAATTAGCAGCTGTTCCCGGGTCTCAGAGCACACAGACTAGATGCACCATGGCTTCTTGAATGGCCTTGCTTCTGTGAAGCCAGTAGTAACTGCCACTGATTCGTGTAATGTCCTTCTTTGTGCATTTCAGCGGCTGGGAGAACAATGCTGAGGGCAGGTTGTGACATGTGAAGTTATTTACACAGCTAGTGTATGTAGCAATGAACTGGTCCAGGTAGTGCTGCATGCTTAATTTAATTAAATTAACTTATTTTTGCAGTATTGGGGTTCGAACTCAGGGCCTTCACTTTGAGCCACTCCACCAGCCCTATTTTGTGAAGAGTGTTTTTGAGATAGGGTCTCAAGAACTCCTTGCCTGGGCTGGCTTCCTGATTTTTGCCTCCTGAGTAGCTAGGATTATAGGCGTGAGCCACTGGTGCCCCAGCTAGCACTGCATGCTTTAAAAGAGCTTCTTTTCAAAGCCTTTGTTATTTATCTTTGAGGGCAGCATCAGATGGCTTCTGTCACAACGCAAGAAGGATGCATACTGGAACTGTTCCCCAGGGAAGCTGAGAGAGTCCTTAGCACCTGGCTGTCACACGTAGCTTCTATGTCCAGATAAAACATTCTCCAGGATGAAGGTATGACATGCTGGTACCTGCTCCCTTACTTTCTCTGCTGATTTTCTATTTCCTCTCTTTTTAAAGGGCGGCTGCAAAAGGAGGTACAGGAAAACCAGAGGTTCTAAAATGGTATAGATAGCAGCGAAGGGGGAAAGTTTCTGAAATCAGAAATCTGGGGTGTAATCATACAAGAGCCAGAAGAAGCGTGCAGGTGGAGTAGGTCTCCCGAGTGTGGTTACTAATGAATTGCCTTGCAACTTATGGGAAGGAGCCATGTTTGTACCATTAAGTCAATGCCTCTTTGAGAGGATTTGTGGGCTCCCATCCTTCTCTCAAACTCCATGTACTTGGGAAAAAGAGCAAGGAAACCTAACCCTCTAGTCAAGGACGCCGGAGCTGAAGAGGCAGCCTACTTTCTCCCCCTGATTTCAAGGCCACGCAAGCCCTTTTCTGAAAGAACTTGGTGCACGCATGGCGGTTTGGAGGAATCTGCCTTGTCTGTACAACAGTGAAATGCTCGGACCGTTAAGAGGAGAAACACATTTTGGTTATGCCAGTCTTTTGGCACTGTGCAGCCCACAAAGGGGTAGACTGGATTTCCCTCTTTTTATCCCTGTGTTTGGGAGTCATGTTGAGTTTGTGGGTGTGTGCACCCACTCATGTTGGGTGGAGAGCCAGCAGCCATCAAGGGCACCTTGCCTGAGGCCACTTCTATCTGGAGGCAGAGTCTCCTGAAAATATGATGAATTTGAGAGAACACCTACTTCATGATATGCAAAGTTGCCCAAATTTCCACTGCTGCAGTCACACGCTGGGTCAGTCACATAATAAATGCCATCTGTACACCATGAGCTTAGCAATCCAGAATAGACAGATGAAGAGCTTGTTGGATAGATTTTCAGGAAATTTGGGAGCTGGTGATCAAATACAGCTATGCTATTAAGAATTAATATATAAACTTACAATGAAATAAATTCTACAATGTAATAACTTACAATGAAACAAAGGGAGTGCTGGATCTGAAATGTTCCCCAAAGACCCTTGTGTTAAAGTCTTGGTCTCCATCCAGGTGCTGTTGGGAGGTGGTGGAGTCTTAGAGGAAGGCCTTCCAGTCACTGGGAGTGTGCCCTGGAGGGGATGGTGGGACCCTGGACCACTCCCTCTCTCTCTGCTTCCCGGCCACCATGAGATGAACAGCTTGCTCCACTTGTGCTACTGCCATGGTGTTCTGTCTTGCAACAGGCCCAAAAGGAACAGGGTCAAGCCACCATGGACTGAAACCTTCCACACTACAAACCTTTTGTCTTTAGAGGCTGGTTATTTTAGGCATTTGTTACAGTGATGGAAAGCTGACTAAAACAGGTGGTAAATTCCAGAAGCTCCATTTTCTGCCATTTTATCACATTTTACGATGATATGCACTTTGAGGCTATTTTTGTCCAGTAGAAACACTACTGCACATCTCTTCCTGATTGTGCTTTCAGTGACATCTCTGTGGCTTGAAATTAGCCACAGAGAGAGTGTTACAATCCAGGAATGGTGGCACGTGCCAGAATCCCAGCATACAGGAAACTGAGGTAGGAGGATCGTGAGTTTGAGGCCAACCTGGGCCACATAGTGAAATGCTCTTTTTTTTTTTTTTTTTGAGACAGCATTTATACTACTGGAATAGAAAATCCTACAACCCAGGGCTCTTTCTTTTTCAGAGTGGATTTTTTTGAACATTTTCACCAGCACAACACTGAGAATATGGGAATATGTGTGGTGTGCAGTGGTGACTGAGTGTGTGTGTTGTGTGCTGTGTGTGTGTGTGGGTGGGTGGTGGTATCAGGACCCATGCACTGGACAAGCAAATAGTGTGTTTGGTGATACGTTGAGAGAATGTCCTCGTCTGTTGGGACTGCTGCAGGAAAATATCGTAGACCGGATAGCAAGGAACAAGCATTCATCTCTCACAGTTCTGGAGGCTGAGTCCTAGATCATGGTGCCAGCCTGACAGGGCTCTGGTGAGGACCCTCTTTCTGGTGTTTTTATATGCCAGAGAAAAAAAGAAGAAAGCAAGCTTTCTCCAGTCTCTTCTTCAAGGGAATTTATTCCACTCATGAGGATCTAATCATTGTCCCAAAGGTGCCACCAGATACCAGCATGCTAGCAACTTCACCTTGGACTTCTCAGCTTTCAGAACTGTGAGATGCAAGTGTCTATCCTTTAAGCATTTTGTGCTAGCAGCCTCAGCTGACTAAGATGTGGGATAATGGTTTAATATGAATGGGTTGGGGGTGATGGCGAGCTGTATACCCACACGCAATGCAAGAAGCATGTGAGGATTCAGGGTGCGTGTGTGTGAACCCACTCATGTTTCAAGGGGACAAAGAGAATGACAATTTGTTGGGGACCAGAGGAATAAAGTCAAATTCTGCACTTCATGCTATGGAGTACCAGAAAAGAAGTGAGCTTCTGTTTACTCAACTAAAATGGCACACCCATCATGATGGTGTGAGGACCGAATGGGAGGGTTCTTGAAAATTGTAAGCACTGCATGGCTAGATGTAGCATATTATTACTCCAGGGGTATTTCTGAATTTATGAGAAAGGGGAAAGGAGATTTTTCTAAAGTTGTAAAACCCGTTGTACTTTTTCTCCTCCTCATAGCTTTCATTCCTGGTATTTTGTTTTAGTTTTGTGGTAGTAGGGATTGAACCCAGGGCCTTGCACATATTGGGCAAGCACCCTTCCACTGAGATATACCCCTAACCCCTTGTTCCGTTTTAATTCTCATCTTTTAACTCTTTTATTCATTTGTTTTTGTCTTCTTTCTTCCCTTCCCCTTCTCTTCCTGTTTTTTCTCCTGAGACCTTTCCTTCCTCTCTTTTATTTCCATACTAGTTATTCTAGCCTTCGAGCATTTTGAGTTGATTGTCATATGTCAGTCTCAATATCACTTTTTAGTTTTTGCTCCATTTTCCGATTGTGGGGCCTCTGCTCTTCCAGCTCAGTGGTCCTAACGTTCCTTGCTCTGAGTGCGCAATGTGGAAATTGCTACAGGAACTCTGCTAGGGCCAGGCAAGTCGATGCCTGCAAAAGTGGCACCATGGAAGCTTAGACTCCTAGCTTTCCTTGAAAGGAGAATGGCAATTAACCTTGTCAGTGGAGCAGAACGCACTTGAATTTGTACTTGTAAATCTGCGCCTCTCCTTAAGCAAATATGATAGGAAGAATCCCGATATTCATCAAAAATAAATTAAAAATGGAGTCCTCACATTATGAAAGAATTCACAGGGAGATTTCTCTAGTGAGCAACTTTCTCTCTTGATGTATTTAAACTGTGTTTTGACTCATATAAGTTCATTACCAATAGGACTTTTTCTAGCTGACTGAAAAGAGGAGGCATGACTGGGATGAGTACAGGGGTGGCTCTAATTTTCAATAAGTTTATTAACCAGTATTAATTCTCATTTCTCATGGCATTTACTGCATTTTAAGTTTCTTTTCAGGGGATGGCAAGCCCAGATGAGCCTGTTGTTTTGCTTCTGCTCATTTGGGTTTAAAACGTAAGCTGTTCATTTGGGCCCTCGGCTCTGTTTGATTTCCCTTCAAGCAGAGATTTTTGGTTTCTGTGATGTGTGGAGTGAGAAAGTAGGTCACTAATGAAATGCTTCGTGCAATGGAGAAATGATCTGCCATCTGAACAGCACACAGAAGGGACAGCCTTCTGTTCATCAAAGGGACAGCGTAGACTGAGTGAGAGCCAACTGGGGATGCTCTCCAGGAGTTGCCCAGGAAGTCATGTGACTACCAACGTCCTGGCCCAGGCTGGATATCTGAATGTCAGGAACTCCGGTCTGGTGGCAAAGTCACACTTAGTGTTCAGATGTGAGAATCAGCTTAGGTTGGGTGTTTGCTGTCAAAGGATTTAATCAGTAACCACCACTGTTATAAATGTTTCACTAACTCGCTTCCCATACACTTGCTTCACGGATTCTGCTTAACCTGATAAAATTTCTATTAAGAACAAAGAGCTGTTATCCTCGGCCAGACAAAATTCCACTAGATGCACTGGTTCCAGAGCTGATTACCTAAAAGTTATTGCTTCCCTGAACTTTTAAACTTCTTTGTCTTCAAAGCCCTTTCCCAATGTCCCCTTTCCAATTAGCCAACCACATAGACTGTGAACCCAAAACCTGCCCAATTCAGGGGATGGGCAGCATTGAGTTAGAGATAAAAACCAAGTGGACACCCTGCTGGATGTGCTTGATGTTTGTCTGTGGCTCACCCTTCTGCAGAAGTAAATTTTGCTTTGGCTATTGACTTCTGAGTTGTGTTCTCTCTCTCAGGACACCCCAATATCTTAAAGATATTTCTGACACAGAAGACCCCAGCTGTCATGGTGGACAGCACCACTTTCTTTGGGGGCAGATTTGTTGGAGAGGTATTTTTTGTGTTCCTAAAACTTCATTTTGCTCTGTGTGTGTGTACGTGCGTGCGCGACCCTGAGGTAGGAAGATCTGAATTTCGAGGTCAACCTGGGCTACATGGTGAGACCCTGTCTAAAGTAACTAACTAACTAACTCACTTCATCTGTAGCATTTCCTGCCATGTTCTGCAACTCTAGAGTCTTGGGCTCCAGGAAGAAGATGAGGCTGGAGAGAGTCACAGACTGGCACAAAGTCCTTTCTAGAGAGACCACAATGCACTTGAAAGAGAGGTTCTCTTTGTTTCCCTGACTAGCCGTGTTAGTCCTCCACAAACAACAAACAATGCTTCTGGCAGCCAGAAGTCAAAATCGGTGTCACTGAAGTGTCATCAAGGTATTGGCAGGGCAGTGTGGCCACACACCCTCTGGGGGTCGTAGGGGACGGTCTGTGTCCTGTCTTTTCCAGTTTTTGGTGGTCTTCCTGAGTGGCACTGGAACGCTTTTCTGCGGTCCTCCTGCCAATTTAGAGCTCTCTGGCCTTGAAGCGTACCAGGGGGCCTAGGAGTGAGTGAAATACCCTGGCAGGGAGGACCGCTTTA